TATATATATATACACAATAATTCGTAATTTTTCCAACTGTAATGCCAGTTAATTATAGCGTGAATATATGATTCAAAATAATTCTGCATAATTGCACTGTAGTATAGTCATCAATGTCAATATTATATAGTCACCAATGTAAACATTATTATCATCATTTGAAGTTCTTATGGATTATATATAAACATTTTAGCATTAAATTAACTTTTGTCGCTTAACAAACTTCTTTTAAAATAATGAGTGCATACATTTTATGCATGATTCGCAATTACATGAAATATTTCTTTACGTAAAAAAAAACTTTATATTACTTTCAGTTTATTCATTTAAAGTCTTATCTGTATAAATACTTAAAAATTTTTCAAATATAGTTTATAATATTAATCTATGTAAGCTTTTGATAATATTAAATATTTTTAAACATTCATAAAAATTAAATTTTGGATCAGACGGAAATTTTGGATATTCTTGCGATAATTTTCAATTTAAAGCTGATTAGTTTTTCTCTATTATATTATTAAACTTTTTATCACATTATTAACACTTTTTTTCGTACTAATTTTTGTGATTTAGAAACATTTTTTTCTGGATATTCATATTTTAATTATAGAATATAATAATTAATTTTTTTGGAAGATATAATAATTTTACAAAATTATTCTTCTAGACTATCCATCAAAATTACAGTAGTAAAGCAAAATATATTTAAGTTCAAGTTATATATGTACGGGATGTTTAATGAGTAACGATAAAACTCTCGCATAGGAATAGAGTGGACTAAACTGAATTAAAAAATCTTGCATCATTTTATAATTTTCGCAATAATTAACAAGATATTAATTACTAAATATCGCCGAATATTAGTTTTCAATCATTTTTTATTCCAATACTGTACAAAAAAACAATCAACTTTACAAAAAAACATCAAATGATAAAAAGTGTTTATTTTCTTTTCGAATTCTTTCTTTCAATAATTTTTCCGAATTTTGTAATATCATACTTTAAGTTTATAAAAATTGCCAATATGTATATATATATATATA